ATCTTTGACTTTTTACTATCTTATTATTTTCCATATCCAATCAAGCCTACTTCATACTTCTGTTAAAATATCTCTGGAATTTACCTTCAAATTCTATTGCACTTGCTTCTATGTTCTCGTCAAATGTCTACTTGTTTTCTTAGTGTAGGATCTTCTTCCATGCCATCACTTTCTACGTATTTGCCAGTCTAACCTCTCCAAAAGAGTCCTTACATCCTTTGAGAATCTTCAGGAGATGTCAGTTCTCACTATAATAAGTACAGATTTCTCATTATCATCCCTGTCTCCACCAAGCCCTCTGTATTGGATTTATTTTTTGTTCTTCTCTCATTGGTCGTTGGTGTCTTTGGTATTTGGTGGGCCCCAAAGAGCCCACCGTGTATGCTGTATTTAGTTTTTCCCTTCCATGCCTTTCTTCGTACTTTCAACCCCACCCCCATGCCCTGCTGGGAAAGCTGTATCCCTATTCCTTTTGACATATTCAAATTCCCATCTTCAATAAATTTCGCGAAAGCTTCTACAAGCCTGCATTTAGCTCTTCTTTCTCAGAGCTCCTGTGGCACATTGATGTGATAGGATTCTCAGTGGCAGAGGCCTTTGTCTCCTTCTCTTGGCCCTGGCCCCATGGTGTGTAGTGGATTGGTTGCTCTTCTGTCCCACTTCACTCCTATAATCATTTTGTGAAATTAGGTCAGAAAGGTTGTTTTTTTAGTTCTTTTTTTGTTTGTTTTTTTTATGTACTTCTAAAACATTATGATTCTTCGTCCAACTCTCTCATCCCCACACACCCCAAATCAGAAGCATTTTTGTTTTGTGAAATAGACAGGCTTACTAGGTGGAGCACTGTGCCAGCGGAGCCAATAGTGAAATCGACTCCCATGTGTACCAGTTAAGTTCAAATAAAACAAAACTTCCATTCAGAGTCACAGGCTGTGTACTGAATTCTGCCTACCCATCTTCAAATGTGTATTTTGTTCAGTATTTGGGGAAATTGAGCAATAAAGTGTGAAATTCCTAGCACAAATTTGTAAATATTATAAAAGTAACTAGAAATTAGTGTATTTTGCACTTGTATTACCATATTACTTTTATACAAGTGAAGTAGTTATTAAAAATATTCTTACTAACAAAATGTCTATAGCAAAGACCAGCAAACTTTCTCTTGAATGGCCAGATAGTAAATATTTTTAGGCTTTGCAGGCTACATGTGGTCTTTTCACATGTCCTTTGTTTTTGTTTTTCTTGTTTATCATCCTTTGAAAATGTAAAACCAGATTCAGCTTGCAGGCAGTACAAAAGCAGGCCATGGGCTGCCAACCCCTATGAGCCGGGATTTGGCCTTTGAGCCATGGCTCACCAATCCCTGGTCTGTAGCAATATGAAAAGCTGATCTGTTTATTGAGCATCTGAGAGGGCAGAAGACTTTATTATCCAATAGAGAAGATGTTGCTACTACTAATCCAAGTCCTGAACAAACCAGAATGTGCACAGAGGGGTACAATCAAGTGGCAGAGTATGGGAAACCTTAACCTAAGAGGAGTGGCTCAGCATCGGGGACAGGATTAGAGAAGAGCAAACGGTGGCATCATAGAGGTCTTTGACATTTAAGTGTCCATGATGCAGAAGAAGTAGGCTTATCCTGCACAGTGCTTGCTGTAGAGTCTTGAGTGGAATGTGCTGTCCTGGGAAAGTGTCAGTGTCCTTCCCCTAAAATGGTGATTTTCCCTGAGAAGGACTAAGTTCCTTGCAAAGAACTTCCCATTCTTCATTGAAGACTTGGCGATTGATGTACAAAAAAGACATAATTGTACTCACCATGGAACAGATTACAACTCCAGACATCGATGATGAGGGAATTTTGGAGTAAATGGAAGTATTTAATTTGGGTGAAATTAAAGTAAGTCTTTATAGCTATGTATATTTTGAGTGGATTTTAAAAGGAGCCACATGGCTGGACAATATCTAAAAATGTTACTTAACAATAATTTCATTTAATTATTATAATTTTTACTATAGTGAAAATTTCCAAAAGATATCCAAATTCTTACTCCAGAAATCTTCTATTCAGTTCATATAAACCAATTGCACTTATTTGAATGCTATGATTTATGTCTCCTATTTTCTACTTAGTAAAATCACACAAGTAGCAAAAATCAGGTACCTTGGAGTGACTAATCATTCTTTTCTCACCCTAGCAGCAACTTTGATTCATCAAGAAGCAGAAGCCATAGTAATAGACTTCTGGTTCAGATTTACTGCTTTGTGTTATTCCTTTCTCCACTGCCAGCCCTTTTCTCCATTTAAGAAACTCTAGGAGGCTAATTTGAAGACACTGGATTATTTGCATGCTAGCCCTAAATCCCGTGCTTTAGCATTCATGTCTATGGAAATAGTTGCAGTTTCTGATTTTATTTGGTTGAACTGTTACCATATTGATTCATTTTATTTACTTTATTTAATTCAATTCATCAGGATGCGATTTATCTTAATTTTGATTTTGGTTGTAGAGGTTGGCGATTTGAAGGAGCTGCAGACACTAGACATTTCTACCAATCGTTTGCTAACTTTACCCGAGAGGCTTCACCTGTGCCTTTCTCTGCAGTACCTCACTGTGGACCGAAATCGTCTATGGTGTGTGCCGCGCCATCTCTGCCAGCTGCCCAGCCTCAATGAGCTCTCCATGGCTGGAAACCGTCTTGCATTTTTGCCACTTGGTAAGTGATCATGTTTATATCGTAAAGTAAAACAGCCAAAGAATAAGATGGAAAGCCTTTGTTTCTTTGACTAGGACCAAGTGGTTTCCTTTTTTCTGTTTATCTTGAAGATTTCTTCTCTAAACCTGTTTTTGCAGTGAACAAAGCAAATGTTCCCAGTTAACAAATGAAATTTATTTCAGTTAGGAATTTCACATTTTAAAAAAGAAATCTGTGATAAAAATTTGTTTAGGGACAAAATATATGAGATGATTTACTCTGAGAAAGGAATTAAAGTATATGTGTGTATATAACTATAAATTTAACAGAAACTGTTGAGCAACATGAAAGGATAGCTACTGGTACAAATATATCTGCTTAGATACTGACTTCTGCATAGAAAAACTGGTATTGGGTATTCTAATAGTTAGTACTGCCAGATAACCAGACTACAAAACTTTAAAGACTTTAAAATTGGCTGATTTGCCTGCTGAGCTAGAAATGTCTAATAAATAACATGTTATCCACTGCAGATTTCTATAGCTGGCCCATTTTGACATATGTCAAAGAACATAGGTCTTTAATAAAACAGTATATTTATTTCACAGAAAACTGAATAATTTTGTTGATCTGTAAGAAATAAAAGTGCCATTTTAAAAAAATTAAAATATGAAGCTCTATAGAACTCTAAACTGTCACAATAAGCATCATATGATTTTACTCATAAAAGCATATTTATAATGAATAATTTATCTCTGAGGGCAATGAAGTGAATAATTTACTAGTCCCTGAAAGGAAATATTTTCTAACATAATATAGTGCACATATTATTTTCAA